TGCACACACACATCCACACACGCACATGCCCGGCCATCAAACAGGGCGGATGGGGTGCCCTCTTGTCTTGCCGCCCCCCCCCCCCCCCCCCCCCCCCCCCCCCCCCCCCCCGCCCGTCCCCCCTGCCCCACCGCGCCAGGCCACACACCCACGAGGCCCGCGAAGTGCCACCGGACGATGGTGACATGTGACAAGTGGAATCAACAGGTGCCGTGCTGGTGTTAACTGTATTGGTCTTCGATGATAGACCGGCAGCGAGCCCTCAGAGCTCCAGAACAAGGAAAAGAAGAGGGGAGAGAGGAAGGAAGACCGAGGGAGGGGGAGCGGCGCCGGCCAGGCACATCAGCCAGACTTGAAGCTCACAGTGCTGGAGGACTCGGGCGAGTCGATGCGCTTGGAAGCGGCCGCCTTCATGGAAATGGTCGAGGTGAGGTTGGCCACATGCGCAGCGGACAGCCCCCAGTCGTAGCCATAGTTGATGTGCTCCTGTGCCGAAGAAGGCGGGGCAGGGAGCGGCCGGGGAGACAAACGGGCACATGGGGCGGGGGGGGGGGCGGGGGGAGATATGGGTGAGCGAACGGCAGAAGGGCGAAAGGACCAGGCGGGGGGGGGGGGGGGCGCGGAAACACGGAGGGGGCAGGAAAGAATGGGAAGCAGCGAGGTGCGCGCGCGTACGGTAAGGCCGCAGCGCGCCTGAGCCTGGCAAAGGCGCGGCACGGAGAGAATCCCGTCGACGATGGGGACATCGGTGTTGATCTGAATATCGAGCAGGGACTTGGTGATGGCACCAAGGATGGCGCCCTTGCAGGCAGCGTTGAACTCGTTGTCCGGGCCGACATACTGCGGGTTGTCGGCCATGATGCAGCCGATGGCCAGGACGGCCGAGGGGTTGAGCACTGTGTCCGGACGGCGGCAGCCCAGGCCAGGGAGGAGGGTAAGTGGGTTGGCAGGGGTCGGCAGGGGGAAGAGGCAGTCACTGGGCCATGCGAGCGGGACCTTGGCGAGAGAGAGAGGGGGGGGGGCAAGAGAGAGAGGGAGAGAGACAGAGAAAGAGGGGACGGGGAGCACGAACCCTTGATGGACTTGCTGGCGGCGAAGGGCAGGTCCGAGGGGGTGGGAACTTCGATGATGTGGATGCGCTCCGGGGGGACCATGCAGCTGGTGAGAGCGCGGCTGAGGCGTCACCACAGCGGGGGGAGGGGAGCGAGCGAGCGAGCAG